TATAATCCCTACCCTATTCTTATTCATATTTTTTCTGCTATACCAAAGTTTATACCCCGTGCTATCTAACATTTTGGCCTTTTCTCCTACCCATTTGGTTTATTGTAAACACATTATATTTACCCTTTTCTTTCTCACGCACTCCACTACCTCTAGAAATTTACTTGTTAAAGTCCCTATATTCTAACTACCTATTCTACAAGTTTTACTACTCTTATTTTTCTCATTTAAGTGTTGGGTCTTTTTCCTAGTGCTCCCTACTCTCACGTCCCGATGAGAGTGTAGCGGTCCTTGTCCAGATGAAAAAGTTATATCTTTTAAAGCATTCTTAGCGTATGGGCCTCTTGCACATTTGTCACTACACCCAAGTTCTCATGGAGATGTATCGGTCCTTGCCAAGATGACGCAATCGGACTCTGCGGCGCGCGTGCCACTTACAGCGAGTGACGCCCTAATATTTGCACGATTTTTTATGTTATCCATAATCATTAAAGTGAAAAAATATTATGTTGGCCGCCAACCTAACACAACCCTCCTCCTTTACACTGACTTTGACAGTCAACTATAAACTTTTAAAGAGTTTATAGCAGGGGAGTTAAAAATATATATATAAAATTCATCCTAATATGTGTGTGTGTGTGTTTTTTTACATCAATGTCCACCATAAACATTTAAAGTAAGACCAGTTGTTTGTTGTTGACAAACTTACTTGACTTGGACGCATGAGATGTATAGTGATGTGCTTACTGATTAGATCGTCCAAAAACATGTATGTTCACATTACAAAAGAATTATATAAAACTGATATACCTAGAGACCATATGGGTACACAAACTAAGAAATTAAAAGTAGTGTGATGCTTGGTCAATACACTTGCCTAACTTCAACTTGTGCAAGATTTAATTTAATTTGTCCATATTTATTTCTCTGATTTATTCATAGTAATGGTGTGGTGTTTACTCCTAAGCACGTGGATCGGAAATCCAAATGGTCTATTATTCTACATTTTTTTTTATCAACATGTACTTGTATCATAGCAAGTCAATACTTCATAGTAATACGAAAAACTTACTTCACTGTTGCGCTATACTTTCGCACTACTCTAAAAAACGAAAATTTGACCGGGAATCTTCATGCATATTTTAAAATTTTCCTTATTGCTATTATATAGTAATAGATATATGTTCCTTGATCAACTTTCTCTTTGTCTTTAAATGCGAGATCTCCTACACATAACCAAAAGAAACATTATGGCAATAACATATTCAATAATTAAAGTCTATTAAATACTAAAGAAAACTTTCCATACTTAATAAGAGAATATCTAGACCTTAATAAAAAAGAGAGAGAATAGATCTTCCATTTTTTATTTTCTTTGCTTGCTTAGAAAATCAAGATATTATTTTTGGAACTTCTTGCCAAAATTAAAATCTTACATTTGATTTTAGACCTTCGATCCGTTTAATTTTGGCTAGAAACTCATTCGGTACTTTTCGTTTTTAGATTTCGGTCTCAGTTAATCAAAGTCACCAATGAACACCTCTTATTACACTTAATAATGCATTCTCGTGCAATTAGATTTGACATTTACCTGAACCACATTGGTATATATTGGTGTAGGGCCGGAGGCTATAGATTTGACGAGATGCTTATCATGCAGAGTCAAGAAGCAACTTGCTAAATTGAATATAACCCGAGGTGTTGAACTAGATTTTAATATATCACGTTAATTAGTTCTTGTTAGTTAAAGTATTCACGTGTGTCTACTGGACTTATAAAATGAATTAAAGTAAAACTAAACTCACCACAAAACTGAGGGGAAGAAAAGTAGTAAATTGAACTATTCCATAATGCANTATCATACGTACCAAAACATATACTTCCTCCTGTTTTTTTATTTGTCAATTTGACTTTATTGATTATTAATTAAATAAATGACGTTTGGATCTTCTGTATATATTTTTTCATTGTTACTCTCATTTAAATAATACACTACACGTTTTGGACGGAAAGTTGTAGAATACGCTAAGTTTTCTGTCTTAAAAGAATATAAAAGGTTGAAAAGAAAATAATTAATTTGATGTAGCACCAGAAATAACTCTATAAACCGGCCTGACCGGTTAGCTCGGATAAGGTCGATCCAAAGGAGCTTGAAGCCTATTTTATGTGATACACGGTATTAGTTAAAGATATTCATGAAAGTTTGTGTATATGTACACAATCATTGAGGAACGTTAAAATTTAAATTCATTGAGGAAACTCATTATCTTTGGAGACTAAGTCGTTGGGGAATAAGATACACTATCAAAATATATATTTTCTGACTTGAGCGTCGGAGTGTCTACGCCAGGACGGCCCCCGGCGCTTTGCAGGTCGATCCGATTCTTGGAGACGAAGGCCATCGAGACGTCCGAACCCTCACCCAATCAAGATGAGACGGTTCGACCGACAACCTCGGTGAGTCGTTATTTTGGCTTATCAAATTGGTGCCGTCTATGGAGACACTGAGTTTTACCGGAAGGAGGTAAATCGGCGTCCCCTTTTTTGTTGCAAACAGAAATAAAAAATCCTACACCAAAATTCCATCGTACACGAAAATTCTGTATCCATGTTCGGTGTTCCAGACTTCCAGCAATTAAAAAAAAATACATCCACAAAAAAAGGGGAGAAAGCCTGGGCCAGTAGCGTATCCACTCTCCGAAACAATTCNCAAAGAGGAAAAAAAAAGAGAAGAGCAAAATTGCAGTGGCCGTGGCCATTGAAAAAGGCAGGGGAATCCAATCAACTGGCAGTGTTAACAGCGGCGATTCATTCAGAGTAACCTGTGCCGCCTGCGTTCAGGATGGCGGCCTCGCCGGGAATTTCAACCTTCAACTGACAATTCATTCGGGATAGTCTGTACCATTTTCTTCAATCCGACCAACTGACGCCACCAATCCATGTACTCCGGCAAGCACCACAGGTCCGCACCACAGATTAGTTGAGAAGAGACAACGCCGCCGCCGACCTTCTTACGATAGTGGGCCAAGGTCGAGGTTTACAAGCACCACCCCCAACTAGGGTTCAGCGCCAGTTTTTTATGCAGAAGCGCAAAGGAGAAGATGATGCTCTCGCGATTGTCTGATTGGGGCAAAAACTGTAAGTCGTTGGGCATTGGAAAGAACATCCAAAGACATCATCTTGGGCCATGACAGAGAGCTCCATTATGGGCCTATTTTAATTGGGCTGATTTGAAGTTGTTGGGCCAATTTGTCATGGGTGGCCTTATAAAAAATTAAGTAGCCCATAACCTTGTTATGCAAACTCATGGCTAAAAGACACATGTTAACACCTCTCAAAAATCTTATCCCAGAAAACGAGATTTTTCAACTAATTCCACTTATATATATCAAAAGGAATTCGCTAGGCTCATCTAATTCCACTTACGGAGACGGTGCTTGTTGTCTTAAATTTATTACATTATCTTTACACTTTATTAAAAACTAATTTACATTTATGGTTAATATTAAATTTATTATCTAGAATTTTACTAAATCATAAAAAACTGAATAGACAAAAAAAATGCAAAAAATAAGCAGAATATAAACAATAGATAAGAAAAAAAAATACAATCGATAATACAAATCAACTTAAGATAAACATCAAATTATCCCTGACACAACTGCTTTCACAGGAATTTTTTAAAAATTATATAAACCATTAGAATACTTATTTTATAATTTATTATAGAGTTATAAATCATTACAATAATACAAATTTTAAATTTAAATTTATTTATAGTTTATTTTTAGTTTATTATATAAGAAAAAATCAGTTTAATATACAAAAAAAAATTATATGTAGTTTATTTTCAGTTTATTATAGTTATAAATTAATACTTTTATACACACAAAAAATGTAAATTTATATATATTTTATTTTCAGAATACAGACTATTGATAAACATAATCACAGATCAATTAACACTCAAAAAATTAACTTATAAAAAACATCAAATAAACATCAAATAAACACTAAAAAAACTATTTTAAAAAAGCTCTCAACTTCAAGAACTCATAAAGAAACATCAAATAAACACCAAATAAACACTAAAAAAACTATTTTAATTTTTTTTCCATTCTCTCTCTCCTCATTTCCTTTCTTAAACTCAATCTCTCTCTTCCACAAATTTTGTCCTCGAGATGACTACAAATAAAATATTTGTCAATATAAAAAAATAATAATAAAAAATATCAAAATAGAGAAATAATGTTCTAAAATAAAAATACTTATATTCCTCAAATTAACTATCATTAATAAAATAAATAAACCTCAAATAAACTATCAATAAACCAACTTATTAATCAAAAATATCAGAGTAGAGAAATAATTTTCTAAAATAAAAAATACTTATATTCCTCAAATAAACTATCATTAATAAAATAAATAAACCTCAAATAAACTATCATTAATAAAATAAATAAATCTCAAATAAACTATCAATAAATCAACTTATTAATCAATCAATATCTAAATGCTTTCTTCAACAATCAATATCTAAATGCTTTCTTCAATCCTATCAAGGTCCCATTTCACCAAACAAAATCACATAGCTCACATAGGCACTTTTGAAAAAAAAAACAATATATATCATTCGTAAACTGTAAATAAACTACTGATATTTCATTACAAAAGGAAGTTCATTCAAATCTTCATTTCATACACAATGTCTACTTACTCGTATGTTCAATGAGAGAGATAAACATTAGTACAACCAAGAAAATACTAGAAATTCATCCAAGATTTTTTCACCATATTATAAAAGCAATGTGCTGTTATAAAATTATGCATACAATAAACTACCCATAATCCATAAGTAAATCGAACAACACTGATGTAATTGGCCAAAAATAAAGACACGAAAAGATCAGTAAATCGACATCGATTGTTTTTTGTACTTTGAAACATATCTGAATTCAGAGAGTAAACCTTATCGGATACTTGTTTCTGTGCTCTGAGACATGACAATAGTCGCATACGTGCGCCGAGACTTGACAATAGTCGTCCACATCGCGTCCCTCATGAGCCGTTGTTTTTCCAGATCCACATCGGTTCCTTCATTGTTCATCGTCGGGCATAGTGCCGGACCTACAATCGCAGGAAAACACCCGATAGTCGACTCGCGGCTCCCAATCGCCGCCTCATTATATACTGTTGGATGATGAAGTCATGCCGTGTCTCCGCCGGTTTTTGATCCCCAAATTCGAGCCACCGCCGCCGCCGCCATTTGTCAATTGTTTTCAAAGGGAGAGGTTTGTCTTCGCGAGAATAAAAAATTAAAAGAAGAATTGGATCCGATTTTTTTTATTTTTGGCGGTCGTTGTATTTTTGTGTGTGATGCCGACGCCGATCAGTTGGAAGGAAGAAGAAAAGGAAACATTGAAAGATAAGAGAGAGATAGAGGGAGGGTTCGACGCCGATCAATTGGAAGATAGAAGAAAAGGAATTGAAGAGATAAAAGAGGGAGGGTTTAATTTATGGAATATAAAAATATGTTTGTGGAATATAAAAATGTTTAATTTCGTCTTACTGGAACAATGGATATCAATTAGGAATTAAAAACTTGTGCTCGTTATTACGTCCATAACAAAACTAATGGTCGTCAAGGGAGTAATTAGTTCCAAACTCATCCACTCATCACCAGGCACGCACAGGGCTTCTCTCGCAAACGAAAAAAAAAAATAATAGAAGAAAAGAGAGGTCGTGATTTCAACAAAGATCCGTCGGCGAGCAGACTACAAGATTTAAAATGAAGAATAAAGTGGCTGCAAATGGAGGAGAAAGGGAAGCGGTGGATCCCTACTTTTGGGCCATCGGCGGCAACGGTGCTGACAATGGGAATCGGAGAAAGGGACTTCTGGAAGGTACGCCCGTCGGCAATCATCGCACGGCCAGCGGTTAGGGCTTGTCAGCCAACGACAGAGGGCGATTAACTCACGCGATCGGGACTATGGTCGGAGGAGGCAACTATCAATTCTTCTTGTAGGCGGTGATCTATCGGGTATCAAAGTGGACCGCCGCGTCCGAAGGTGTGGCGACTGGCTAGAGTCCGCCTGCAACCGATGTCCACCGCTGCTAGGCTTGCGACGAGATTGCAGAAAATGGGCCTTAACTTGTTGTTACTGAGTAACGTGGGTTGTTGCATTCTTGGTTCAATAAAAGGGAAAAAAAAATTAGTTCTGTAAAGTCACCCCAGAACAATGGATCGAGGATTTACTCGAGACCAGCGACGCAATAAAAAATTCGGTCTTCGATTTCTCGACCAACAACTAGTGTGCTCGCCGGATTCTCTAACCTACCAGGTCTTTGAAAAAGATGAGCAGCTTCAGTTTTTTAAAGAAAAAGAGCAATATTTTATGTGTTGAANNGTGAGCACGGCACTTGCGTCACGTCCAGCCACCTCCGCCTACGTTAGTCGCTACCCGGATTGCGCACATCTCTAGACCACAGCTCGGTCGATATCAGCCCTAGAGCAGCCGTACACCACACGACTCTTAGCCACCCCGCCATGGTTGTTCGGAGGTTTCTCCACAATGATCGTCGATGGTCGCAGCTCACAGCCCAGACTGCACCAGCGTAGTGCTTGGGCTGTGAACCAGCATGGCGAGGGTCTTGTTCCAAGAGTCGTTCAGCTAGCATGGCTAGCAAGAGGACAAGGGTGAAGAACATAAAAGGGAAAGAAAAGGAGCACAATAAGTTGGCAGGCAGTGGGTCTTGAAAGAAAGTATTTCATTTCAGGCGAGGAGAGCCCAGGATGACCAGATGGGTTATTTCGAGTTCTGAAGTTTTGAAACAAGAGGTCGGGAGAATTCGGGGAGTCGCTGCGAGATCTATTATTTTTCCGAAGAAAGGATGGGGAGACCTGGCAAGGTGTTTTGCGCCATAGTTATTTCCAAAGCGAGAAGGGAAGGATTCGGCTATTTACCGAGGTATTGGGAGATCCCGACGAAGGCTTTGGCATTTTATAGCAAGAGGTCAAGAGAATCCAGTGACAAATTCTGAAGCCTCGTAGTTTGCGTGAAGCACTCGGGACGACCGGAGGAGTTATTACAATGCTCCAATATTCTTTCACGACCCGTCAAGATGGGGCAGAAGGGACTTGGTAAGATGTCTCATGTCCCGACTATTTTTGAAGCAGTTTGGAGGCGCCGATGAGGATTCTGCGCCCCATATGTTTATCATTTTTCGACGAGAAGTTTACCACAGCCATCCACACGAAAAAGTGAGCTTGACTTTATTAGGATCACGGACACGACGAAACCACCGAGCTCAGGTTATTTATATAAAAAGCATTTTGCCGGTATAGCTACTACGCTACTACTTATTTCCGCTTAAAATGATGATTATGATGTTGTTTCAAGATAATGCGTTTCAACGATTTTGTTGTGCAGAGTTCTGTGTTGCAGTTTAACATTCGAGGAAAGTAGTCGATTGGCTAAGGGTTGGGCTCGTGTAGATCGGATGACCTCACGCCAAGTCGAGGTCGCTTTGGCACTCGCAAATTCGAAAGTCGAGGTCGCTTTGGCACTCACTTATTTGCCTAGAGGGTGCGGATGACCCAAGGATGTTTTTCAGCCCGATTATTTATGCAAAAGACTCGATGATATATTATAAGCCCCGCTTGTTTTTGAAGAGCATTAGATCGAGGAGAAAATCAACACTGTCATACAAGGGGATTCATACCCCGATTGTTTTCTTAAGGAGGTCAGTCGTGATATTTGCAACTCTAGGTAAATAAGCTAGTCTTTACTTGTTTTCAATGATCAAGATCAAATATCATGGAGAGTTTATTTGAACATCTTGTGAAGAGGTATTAACTGCCTTCATTTCTTCGAAAATATGTCTTCGTGATGCTAAGATAAGTGTAGGGTTAGCCTAGAGTCAGAGATGCAAGTTTGAAGATGTCGCTCGAGCTCGCGGAGCTCGGCGATGGTCGAGATAGGGCGAAAGCCTGTTGATGACGTCGCTCGAGCTCGCAGAGCTCGGCGATAGTCGAGATAGGACGAAAGCCTGCTGAAAAAGTCGTTCGAGCTCGCGGAGCTCGACGATGGTTGAGATAGGGCGAAAGCCTGTTGAAGAGGTCGTTCAAGCTCGCGGAACTCGATTATGGTCGAGATAGGGTGAAAGCCTGTTGATGACATCACTCGAGCTCGCGGAGCTCGATGATGCTTGAGATAAGGCGAAAGCCTGTTGAAGAAGTCGTTCGAGCTCGCGGAGCTCGGTGATGGTCAAGATAGGGCGAAAGCCTGTTGAAAAAGTCGTTCGAGCTCGCGGAGCACGACGATGATCGAGATAGCACGAAAGCCTATTGAAGAAGTCGTTCGAGCTCGCGGAGCCCAGCGATGGTCGAGAAAGCCTTTTGAAGAAGTCGTTCGAGCTCGCGGAGCTCGGTGATGGTCGAGATAGGGCGAAAGCCTGTTGAAAAAGTCGTTCGAGCTCGCGGAGCTCGACGATGGTTGAGATAGCGCGAAAGCCTATTGAAGAAGTCGTTCAAGCTCGCGGAGCTCAGCGATGGTCGAGATAAGGCGAAATCCTGTTGAAGAAGTCGTTCGAGCTCGTGGAGCTCGGCGAAGGTCGAGATAGGGCGAAAGCTTGTTGATGACGTCACTCGAGCTCGCGGAGCTTGATGATGGTCGAGATAGGGCGAAAGCCTGTTGAAGAAGTCGTTCGAGCTCGCGAAGCTCAGCGATGGTCGAGATAGTGCGAAAGCCTGTTGATGACATCGCTCGAGCTCGCGGAGCTCGGCGATGGTTGAGATAGGGTGAAAGCCTGTTGATGACGTCGCTTGAGCTCGCGGAGCTCGACGATGGTCGAGATAGGGGGAAAGCCTTTAGAAGAAGTCGCTCGAGCTCGCGGAGCTCGACGGTAGCCGAGATAGGGCAACGAAAGACTGTTGAAGATGGTGCTCGAGCTCGCAGGGCTCGGCGGCGCGCGGAAGCCTGTTGAATCATCATCCCTCAAACTCGGCAGGTGTCCAATTCAAACGATTATCGAGCTTATCCTAGCCCGGCATGAAGTTAATCTCGCCGCCGCATTAGGGCAGGATAGTCGTTTTTTATAAGCTCGGCAGTATCGTTGTGTTTATATGCTCAGAAGTGGGTCCTCGGACTCGTATCCAACTTTAGGGCGAAAGCCTGTCGTGGAGTGGCCTGAGCTCTTGGAGCTCAGTGGTGAGTCCTTTGACTTGTAGCAGGATCGAGGGCAATTAGCCCGTCATGGCGGTGTCCGAGCTCGTGGAGCTCGGGAGAATAGCCCACAATAGAGGTGCCCGACTCGAACCAGCAAAGACGATATCATTTGGAATAGGTCGTTTGGATCGCGTGGACCTCCGTTCCAGTGAGTATTCACTCAGTGGACCGGCTGGAGTGGTTAGCTTAGAGGATCCAAAGGAGTTTTAGCTCCAATACTCGACCTTATTAGAGAGCTTGCGTATAAAGAGACCTCACCTCCTGGAGGTCGTAAATGCAGGAGTCATCGTTACAACTCGAGCAGATCGTGCGAGTGTCGAACGTATTAACGTGGCAGAACATCGAGCAGGTTGCTCGGGGGCCACAAAGTCAAGGAAAGTGCAAAGATGGCCCAAGAGCCATAGTTGCATGCGCACGAAAAAGGCAGCGAAACTCCGACGTGGTAAACCATGGGGCCTGGACGAGCCCTTGATCTTGACGCCGTAGCCCTACGAGATATACTTAGGCGAGAAATGACTGTTCTACTCTTAGACGAGTCTTGTGCTACCAAGCTCGTCTAGAGTTGACCAGAAATAATTCTGTGAATCGGCCTGACCGGTTAGCTCGGATAAGACGGTCCAAGGGAGCTTGGAGCCTATTTTATGTGATACACAATATTAATTAAAGATATTCATGAAAGTTTGTGTATATCTACACAGTCATTGAGGAACGTTAGAATTCTGATTCATTGGAAAAACTCATTATCTTGGGGAGTAAGTCATTAAACCCCTTATAAATAAGGGACCAGGTTCATTTTCTAATCCTAAGCTCTTGAGATTATGTAAGATACACTATCAAAATATATGTTTTCTAACTTGAGCGTCGGAGTGTCTACGTCGGGGCGGGCTTCCGGCGCTTTGCAGGTCGATCCGGTTCTTGGAGACGAAAGCGATCGAGATGTCCGAACCCTCACGCAATCAAGATGAGGCAGTTCGACCGACAACCTCGGTGAGTCGTTATTTTGGCTTATCACAATTAATGTTAATTTACTTTAAATAATTGACAAGAAAATCATTTGTGTGTTAAAGTACAAAACGAGAATTAAAAAGAATTGGAATATTATACCTAGTATATTGTTTTATACTCAGTGTCTGTGAGTATGTACATAACAATGTATATACAAGATATCCAATTGAAACAAGTATTAAATATTGACATTTTAATTGCCAAATGTCCAAGAAGGCCGAACAAAAAATTTTGATTGATTGCTTGACTAATTTGAATTACGAACAAATTCAACCTGCCCTCATTTTTAGTAGATCTGTCATCACTTTGTCTTGGTTGAATGAGAATTGAACGATAACTTGAACCCAACTTAATTAATAAGCAAAGTATGTAATCCATCAAGCTACCCGAGTATGATTCTCTTTACATTAACATTTTTCTTTAAAATAATTCTAGAAAATTCTGATGAATTTTCTGTAGCATGTGAAATAAAAGGAAATCATGTGGAATTTGTCAAGGGAATAGTACTTGGAGTTTTAAATTTTACGGTAAGTTGTAGGACACCAAACTCTGAAGTATTGGCACTCCCCACAGGTCATGTCGGTGTTGCACATTTAATATTATACAACAAAATTAAATAAAATTCAAAACAGAT